CTCCAGTTGGGATTGGCCGGTTACATTGCCGCATCCCAGTTTCTCTTCTCAGCTCGCCACTCCATGCCCAAACCTCACAGAACTCTGGGGAGAACCTCTGGCCAGCCAGGAATGCAGACCTGGCTTTTCCTGTTTACCCAGAACTTGACTCTTCAGAAGGCAGGAATCACCAGGGTTCAGTCCTGACTAACCTTAAGAGGCTGCAAAGTTACTGGACCTGTCCTTGCCTTGATCTCCTCCTCTGTAGAGTGGGTGGTCTTACCGATTCTTGTGCAGATAAGCTGGGCTAAAACAAGCCAAATGCTTAGAATAGAGCCTGGCAGATCATAAGTCGAAATAATTAGTGTTAGTCGTCTCTCTTCCTTCCAGACTTCCCCCAGCACTGAAAAAGCCGTCTGGTAGAGAAGAACATATTAGGAGTCAAATCGACAGGGGTTTCCTCCGAGGCCCTGCTGCTTTGTCAGTGAGTAGCTCTGGGCTAGTCCTTCCATTGTTCTAAATCTCAGTTTGTTCTGTCATAAAATGGGCAGATGAAAGCCAGGGTCCAGCAGCTTGCGCATGCTTCCTAGACCATGGCAAATGCTTGTCATTACCTCGTCTCACACCTTCACTCCCGTCTGCCTCATTTGGACAGAGGCAGAGGCAGGGCAGCATCTGTTTCATTCCTGAAGGGCTCCCTGGCTCACCCCCACTCCCAGCAAGATCCCAGCAGCAGTAATTACTGAGAGAAGGCAGGCGCACAAAGAGGACTCAGGCCAGGCACACACCCGGTGCTCACGCTCTCTAAGGCCCTCCTTCTGTGGACGCTTTGCTTTCAGCCAAGAGAGTCCCCCCATCTGTGCGGGCGCCCCCCTTGGCACCCCCGTCCTTACCCGCCGTGCAGCGCTGTATCCGGTTCCGCAGCCATTTCAGCAGCGGCTCCATGGTGCAGCCACACACCCAGGGGTTGCCACCGATCTGCAGGGTCACCAGCCCCGGCAGGCCCTCGAGGGCCTCGAGGCTGAGGAAGGCCAGGCCACCGTAGCTGAGGTCCAGGTACCCGAGCTGCACCAGGCCCTGGAAGGCCTGCGGGTGCACCCGGCGCAGCCACGGGTTGTGGCTCAGGTCGATGTGCACTAGCGCGTGGGCCTCCCGGAACATGTCGGCCGGCACGTGGCTGAGGTTGTTGTAGCTCAGGTCCAGGTGCGCCAGGCGCTTGGCGTGGAGGAAGAGGCCGGGCGGGAGCCCCACCAGCGAGTTGTTGCGCAGGTCCAGCGCGCGCAGCTCGGCGGCGTAGCAGGTGAGGTAGCCCGGCGGCACGGCGGCGATGCGGTTGTGCGCCAGGCTGAGGTTGCGCGTGTCCATGGGCAGGTCTGGGGGCACCGAGAAGAGCCGCTGGCCACTGCAGTCCACCACTTGGCTATGGCACGTGCAGAGGACTGGGCAGCTGGCGCCGGCGTCGGTGTACACCACCCCGGCTGCCAAGAGGAGCGAGACCAGCAGCATGGCCGGGTGCGGGGGTCCGGGCCAGGGCAACTGGGACCAGGTGTCACCCATCTTGGCTGCTGCTGACCGCAGTGTGGCAGGGAGGGGCCGGGCTGCGTCCGTCCGCCCGCCCGTCGGTCTGTCAGGGAAATCAAGCGTGAGCGGCACAGTCAAGCGGCTCCATCAGGGCCTGCGCCCCGGGAGGCGGGGCCTCTGAGCACGTGGTTGCATGGCCTTGGCTTCTGGGGACTTTTAAACCTGGGAGGGCTGGTAGGTGAGAGCCGCAGGAAGTCCCCCTCTGAAGCCTAAGGGGCGGTGAGCCCAGGGGAGGCCCCCAGAGTCTGTAGAGATGATCAGAACTTGAGAGGGGAAGGCCGGAGGGTGGGGCTGCACCAGCTGCCAGCGGGGGGCTGGAGGGGCCTCTGCCGCCCTTTCCTGTAGCTGGCACCCATGACCCGGGTGCTTCTCTGTGCCACCTCTGCGAGGTGGCAGGGCGCGAGGGAAGGAGCTGCGTGGTGCCCTTGAAAGGTTCTCGCACGTCTGACAAACCTCAAGCCCTGCGCCAAGTCTGGCCTATTAGGACGCCAGGGTTGCCGCTGAGTCTCCAGCACTCAGAGTCCCGGAGCAGTGTCTCCTCTCCCGTAGGCTCAAGTCCAAGGCCGGCGTGGGATGGACGTTTTGGGAAGGCAGCCAGGGGCCAGGGGGACCTCCATAGGCCTCCCAAAAGCCTGAGTCCTGGTCCCTAGCAGCCACTGAAATCCTCAGCGGGACTCTTTCCCCAGGGAGGGGAGGACCCCAGACGACATCCGCTGTCTGGGCAGCAGACGGGGGAGAGAGTCACGTGTACCCTAGGGGCAGGATGGGGGTCAGCTAGAGAACTTGAGCCACTTCCCCAAGTCAGCATTGCTCCTGCCGGCTCCTTAGTCAGCGCACCACGCAGAATTCCCTCTGCCAACAAGAAAGCTCTCAGGTGGGGGCACTGTTGCCCGCTCCTCTCTGGGTGCCCGCTCCTGGGCTCCTTGCCACCCTGCTCCCTCTTCTTTGCCGGTGAGTTCTCAGCTCACTACCTGTCAGGCTGGGCCACACCAGCCCCCACCCCCATTACACTGTTGTCACCCCACACACCTCCACCACACCCTGCCGCCATCCATCAGCTCTCCCCCGCTGGGTGTCTCTTCTCCTCTCATGGCCCCACCCCCATCAGCATGGAACTCCCCATCCTTGAACAACTCTCGAAGAAAAAATGCATACACATTCTGGCTGTTTGTATACGGCTTGCAGACTCTCTTACACCTCTCTCTCTCTCTCTCTCTCTCTCTCTCTCTCTCTCTCTCTCACACACACACACACACACACACAGAGGCACACACGCACTTGCATTGTTCTCCTGTGACGCCCCCATTTGCTGTGCCCTCTGCTCCCCAGTTTCCTCTCCAGCCTCCTCCTGCACACACACTCCCGCACAGCCCCTTCCCAGGCTGCCCCACCATCTTTCACCCCCTCTCTGGTCACTCCCCTAAATCTCCATCATTTCCCAAAAACACAGCTTTCTCTTCTGGCCCCCCACTCCCCCCTCCCGTTGAAGCCCACACCCACATTCGGTCAGGCAGAGGCGAAGAGGATGCCCGCTGTCTCCACCCTCTGCGCTTCCTTGTTTCTCCCCTGCCCACCTGGCGTCTGCTGGTCCTCCTCCCGCACCCGTTGTCCCACACCCGTTGTCCCGTACAGCCTTTCTTCCCTGTGCCCCTGGCTTCAATCCTGCCCACTGGGAAATCACCCAGCTCCCCTGTACCCCTTTAGCATTCTTCGGAGCCCCGAGGTCCCCACCCCCTGCTCTCCCGCAGGCCCTCGGGAGGTTACTTACTCCGACCCAAGGACGCAGCCATCCGTGTCAGTCCGCAGCTCACGAGGGTGGGTCTCCTGCCCGCATCCTGGGGTCCCTGCTGGCTGCTTCAGGACAGCTTGCCTCCCTGGCTCGTCCCCTCCCCCGGCCTCTCCTCCTCCACAGCTCCCAGATCCCGGGGCAGCATCCTCGGTGGCTTCCCCATCCTGTGGTCCCCGCGCTGTCTCCCTCCTTTTGCCCAAAAGGGAAAATCAGAGAGAGGATGCTTAGAAGAAAGTTCACAGAAAGCAAACGCGTCTTCCCAAAACTCAGCTGGTGCTGAGGCTGCTGGCGTGTGTGGCTTCGGTCAGGTCTTCCCCTCCCTCCCCCTTCCCTCCCGCTCCCCGCTCCTCTCTCCCTTTTTCGCTCCCTTTTTTTCCTCGAGGGCCAGGTACTGACGTTTCACTGTCTCTTAGCAACTGCCTCCACATCTCTGAGCAACAGGAGCGCTGGCTGTAGACCCCACCAAGATGAAAGAGGAGAGAACCCAGCGGCGAATCCTGCCACTGAGGGATCCAAGTGAGGGCAAGGGGGAGAAGGCGTAGGG